TAATGCTAGAAAAATGTTGGCTTTTGCTTCGCGTGCCCCAGGCCCGCAAGACAACGGGCCCGCGAGACAAGTGTAATTATGGATCTACAGCAGGTCAACAACGATGCCAGGCAACTTGTTCGGAAAAGGAATTATGTTGTTCCGCGCACATATGAAACGTCGTCCAAGGTGCTAGGCCGAAGAGTCGCTTGGCCTACTGTTCGCCCATGCACAAATATTCACCAGGGGTTTACGTAAACTTTAACCGCCTACCTTCACCCCGCTTGCAGACAGCCTGTCGACATTCGGTGTAACGTTTGCCAGGTCTGTGCTGTGGTAGCCGATGTCGTTCCACCCCACGTTGTCGATCATGATGAAGAAGACATTCGGATTGTCTGCGGTCGAGCTCGGAGGGTCAACCCCAACACCTTTATCCTTCCCTTTCCCTCGCCCCCCCGTCCCCACGGCCGCGCCCGTTCTTTGTTCTTGAGCTGCCACTGCTGCTTCCCCGGCTGTGGCTTTCGGTGCCCGGTTAAGGCTGCCGAAAGATTTTGGCACGCTCTCCTCCGAGGATGTATCCTGTGATGAAACCTTCGCCGTTCCTGTTGTGTTGCGTTTAATGGTGGCGTTGTTGGTTGTTGCCTCTGCTAACACGCCTGAATGTTGACGGCGTTGTTGTTGTTCTGATGTCGTATACATACGTACACGGATATCTCCATGTACGCGCTACACAGTGAGTAGTGTAGTTGAAATGCTGGTTTCAGACTATTGGAAAACAGACTATAGTCTAAATGCTTTGCCATGCGACGAAGCTCGACGCTTGCTGCAACAACCATGTACCTGACAACCCTTCCACCTAACGACGCCGAGAACGACGCGAAAAGACCTGTACAATATGTAGGCTACTGTTGTTGCCGCGGTTACGTAAGTACCCACAATTTTACGTGTCTTCACCGCTCAGCACGGCAGTGTGGGGAACAAAGAGGAGGTAGCTATAGGTGACTCTTCGTATAGAATCAGACAGAGAGACAGAGTGCTGTGTTTGGAAAGGACAACTTTTTCGAAAAACAAAGGCGTCCGACGGCGACGACGCGAGCGAACGACCGGGCGACGGCCGCGGGATCGACGAAGAGAGGCGGCCTTCAGAGGCAGCCTTTGCAGGCCGCCCGAGCGACCCGACCGAACCCGACCCAATGGCGACGAACAATGAGGTGACAGCGGCACGATCGACGAAGGCCTAACCCAACCCGACCCGTGGATTGTAGTCGGATGGTCTGCATGTACACTTGCTTCTTACAGACTCGGATTAGACTATAGTACAGAGAGTCGTCACATCGGGGTTGCACATGTTGAGTTTTTTTAAAGCATCTACCAACGAAAACGCTGTTGGAAAACAGAACGGTATTGGTAGAAGACTAGACACACCCGAGCGGCACACACACGTGGTATCAGCGAGAAGGGCCATATATAGTCTAGTAGGCCAAGATCTAAAGAGATCCAAGTGTACGGGAGGCGGCGGAATCGGCGGACGATGCGGCGGAGCGTCGTTTCACACCATCACACAATACACAAACGTGTTGCTCTTGGCAGAGCTGTTGGTCGCTTGCTCACAGCTTTGCAAAGATGTCGGTGCCCCACAGCTTGTGCGAGCTACTACCGTATACATTTGGCGAGGAGAGCCCACCCGTATACAAAATGAGCGCGCATACACAGGGAGTGGTGGGCGGACACGCCGTCACCGCAACTTTAACCGTCGCCATTAGTCTATAGTCTAGCCACAAACATTGCGGAGCGCGCCTGGACTCTGTTGACGATCATGGCTCTCCAGATACGTCAATCTGGAGGCGTTTCTTTCCTGCACAGACACAAAGATCGCGACGAGGCCTAGGAAGGCGAGGCAGAACAACTTTGACCAGTATCCTCCTTGTTTTCGCTACCATCATTGTGATCCTCATTTCGACAAGAAGAATCTATCTCTGGGCAGTTCTTCCCTAGCCCTACGTTTCTTGTTGTGGGGAAGGTCATCTGACTCAAACCCTTTGCTCTTCCACTCCTCCATGTTTTCCTGCTCCATCGTCGTCTTCGTCCTCCTTTCTTCCCTTTCCCTTTCCTTCGTCTTCGTCACTCCCAAAAGAATTACCCTCACTACTATCGTTGTCGCAGAGATCCCAACCGATTGGCCCTGGTGGAAGTTGGTCGGTCAGTAGCCCATGACGTTTGAACACATCGCGAGTTCGCATCGACAGAAAACGAGCTAGCTCGAAGGTAAACCGTCTCCGAATCCTGTTAGTATGAAAAGCTTTCAGGCGAACTAAGGCTCTTTCGTCTTCAAAATTCCCCCGGCAAAAAGCTTCGTGCGCCAAGTGGTTGGCGATAGCAACGATGAGTCGATTGGTACCTTTGCCAAGGCCACCATTCGTTGAAAAAGCAGCAGTAAGGAGGGTAGATCTAGACGGGTTGAAAGTTCCCGCATAGTGATTTGTGCCTTACTTGCAGCTCGATCTTGGAGGGCGGATCCTGGAGTTTGGATCGACTTGTCGATGCTTCGACCTGCGGATGGGTTAACGATTGTAACATCTATGAGAATGGACTTGGTGCAGAGTTCCTCTTCCTTCTCTTCTGCGTGTAATCCTGGGGGGATTACCAAATCCATCTTGTATAGCCCCTTTCCCCTACCAGTGCCTGTGGTAAAAGGGGAAGAATCCTCAACGGCGATGGGCATATGGCACTCGCGCAGTGTCTTGAGGACCACTCGAACCATCCTGTTATGGAGGAAGGTTGAGGCGCCGGTCTTGGTGCAGACGAGGGAGTGGGCTCGGCTCAAGCGGTCCTTGCATGGTAACAATGCACCTGCACCACAAAGTTTGCCTGTGTTGCAGTCTGCTCGATCGTGACTCCCCAGTACACGACCGATTGACTCTCGATATAGATCAGGCAGCATTCTTTCATCTGCTGACAACCCTTGCGTTGTCAACCACGACAAAACTCCCTTGCCTTTCGCTTCCTCCAAGCGGATCAACGCCCTCTTCTTTGGCGTTTCCTCGCCTACTACTTTCTGCAAGTCTGTCTCCACCATGTGGCGCACTGCTGCATGAAGAGGTTTCGAAAGGAGAGCTTGGGCTCCAAAGACTTGGTAGTGTTGACCAAATTCATTTCGGCTGAAGGTAGACGGTGGTTGATGTTCTACGTCAGGGTTTCCATCTTCACGGGGTTTTCCCGCCTTCCCTGCTTCCAACAAGTAAACTCCTTTGAGGGCGGGGGTTAACTCATCACTTGTGGCAAGTTTAGCCCATGACTGCCCAACAGCTTTTTCAAGCTTGTCATTGGTGATAATCTCCTCTAGCTTCTTCAGCGAGTCAATCAGAGCCAGTCCCGCCGGTAGCTGGGCAAGCCGGGGTAGACATTGCTCAACTGTGTATCCTGTCGATGCTTGCACTGACTTGGAGAACACCAGCGCTTGCCCTGCCAC